CCCCTCCTGACACTGTCGGGCTCTCGGTCCATGACCGAGTGCCCGACATTTTAGAGGGGGTGACACCAAAATGACTGCCAGTGATTTTGGTGTCGCCCCTGCAATGGTGTCACCCCCGCATCCCCCATGTGACGCCACTGGGTAACAGGCATATCCAGAAAAATGGTCCCCAATGGCAACGCTTGTATCTCCCTCATGACAGGTTAGCTTGAAATCAGAATGCCTGGTCAGTGACAATGCATTGCGATGCGTTGTGCTGTATTCTATAATGCGTCGGGGTCGCATTCACAATGCATAGCACCGCACATAGAGCAGGTGCCTCACCATGCGTGGTGGCGATGTTGTCACAACACAGAAGGGTGGATGGGCCCTTGATGGCTGTATTGGTGACACTCTATTCATGAATGATGTATACAATGTTGTCATTGTGTCCCCGGGGCTCACACAGTTGTGCAATGCACGGACAGAACTCGACACTCGTATTGTACGCAGAGTAATTGTGTTATTTTTATTCTGAGTTCCCGGCTGATTTTTATGTTTTCTGAGATAAAAGCTGAGAATGTTCCCAGAAGTCTCACAGGACCAGCTGTGGGGTCACCAGTCCAGCCAAGGCAGCTGATCCTCCACGCGGATACATTGTAACCATCTGACATTGAACTGGAACAGCTCCAGCCTGCCCCCCGGTGGCCACATCGCGGTACTGCGGCTCAGGTTGGATATTGGGAGGGGCAGCAGCTTGCTGGTGCATTGTTCTTAAAGGTGCACAGGACCAGAAATGCAACCAGTGTATTCCCGGAGAGCAATGGAGGTCTAAATCAACGGTTTATTGATGCGCGTTGCATCCGTCCATCCATTTCCTATGCACCAAAATGCGTTTACTGCATTGATCCTTTAGAAACGAATAGGCACATGCCCTCCAGCTGTTGTGGAACTACAAGTCCGGTGATGCATTGCAACACTGGCAGTTACAGGCAGAGGCATAGCTGGGACTTGTAGTTAAAGCACAGCTGGAGGGCCGGAGTTGCCCACCCCCTGCCTGTATTTGTAGGACAGGGGTAGGCAACCTCTTGCTGTTGTGGAACTACAAGTCCCATGAGGCTTTGCAAGGCTCTGTCAGCCACAGGCATGAATCCCAGACACAGAGGCATGGTGGGAATTGTAGTTTCAGCAGTCTCTGGTTGCTCATCCCCTGTCATTGCTGACGTCTTCTTCTGAAAATGCTATGTGCCCGGCTGTCATGCTGCTGTAGTATCACAGACCTGGAGCAAGCAGCCAGATCGGGAGTTAGGACCTGACAGCCAGGAAACTAGTATTTCTGATGGGAGGTCAGCAATGGCAGCCCCCGGTATTTTTCGATAGTACGCGGGGTCATTCACACTCCTTCCGCCATTCACACCTGAGCGTCTTGTAGCGTGTCTCCAGAAATGCATCAATGCTCAACATGCAGAATCCCATTATAATCAATG